AAATGGCCGTGGACCACGTGTCAGGGGCGGGAAAATGGCCGTGGACCACGTGTCAGCGGCGGAAAAATGGCCGCGGACCGTGGCACAGGAGGGAAAATGGCCGCATATCCTGTTCATACCCCGAGGCGGAGTTCGCAAACCGAAGCAAAATTTTGAAGCCAGAGCTGGTCGTAACCCGAAAAGTTCGTTAACAGAAGCGTTCGTAACCCGAGGTTCCACTGTAGCTCCATTCTGTTTAATACTTCAGTCATGAAAAGTTACTAACCTCCCTTTGTGGCCTCTTCATCAGAACTGCTACTCTTTGCAGTATTCAGCACTTCAGATGCTGGATTCTTCGACGCAGATGTTTTGCCCACAAAGTTGGCTGAGATTTTGGGGGCTTTTTTCTCTGTTCCACAGCTATTTTGTACTCTCTTCCTCTCTCTTTTTTCAGATATTTTAAACTGTTCATCGCTGGAACTGTCAGAAGAGGTCCCACTATCAGCTGGCCCTTGCTTACTAACAATCCTGCTACGGCCCATGGACAATTTGCTAGCGGATTTCTGGGCTGGCTGATTCTGTTCTTCTTCACTGCTGGAGCTGCTTGACTCAGAACTCTTCGGTTTAGAGACAGGGATGCTGGATTTGGGTGTGGTTTTGAGAGCCTTCGTGCCAATTTTTTTTTTAGGAACTTTCTTATCTTCAAAGCTACTTTCTGCTTTCTTTGCCGGCACTCCAGGAAGTTTTTTTACTTTCTTTATGCCTGTCCTAACTGCAAACTTGTCAGGAATACTGTCAGAGCTGTCAGAATCTAGGAAGGAAAAATAGTTAAGGGACAAACTAATTTGATAGGACTGCATCTTGTCCACACTAAAAGTTCAGATTTATTCTGTGGAAGGAAGTGCACATTCAGAACAACAAATTGATACTGTCAAAAGTACAGTGTCAGTATTTTGAGCCCTGAGAAAATTAAGCATAGTACTTGATACTTTTTTTTTTTAAGGTGGGGAAGCGTAGAAGAGAGGGTGATCACAGGAATATAAGCATCATTGACCAGTTCCTAAAAATTTGTGATACAAAAGCCCAAAGAAATCCTGTGGATGCTCTAATCCAAAAAGCCAATTCCTTCCTTTCTACCTTTCAGAAAGAAAGGAAGTTTTTGCTTTTGGGGCATCAGGATAGTAGAGAAATGGTTGAGAGCATTTAAGTGGCTTGTTTTAACAATTCAACATCCTTTATTGCTTACTTATGGTACATTTTAAATTTAAATTTTGGTAGTCTAAACATGAAGTGTAAGAGAAATATCAAGGATGGATTTTTTTGTTTTGTTATGTTTCTGACTGTAAGTAACTGAAGACTGAACAAAATTCCTGTTCTTCAGACAAAGAATACAAGATATGAAAATGGAAAGCAATTGATTACCAGATTATTTATAGTACCTGAGCTATCAGAGGAGCTGGTCACTTTCTTTGATGAAGCCAATTTAGCAGCACCATTTGCTGAAATGACTTTGGCAGAGGGTCTGACTAAAACATTCTTATCTTCTTCAGAGCTAGAATCTAAATAAAACACACATACTTTTAATTTATACTGGCATATTTAATCTTACCTCAGAGATGTAGTACTGACAGCATTCTGTAATTGGCTGGTTATAACTATCAACAGTATAGAACCCCCTAATACACATCACACATTACATGGCAGGGCACTCGCCTGAATCACTCTCTGAAGATGTATCTCCGTTTTGGATAGAAACAGGAAGAGATTTTGAGGCAAATGTTTTTTTAATTGTAGACCCTTCAGCTAGAGGAAAAAAAATATAAAGGTTTCATTATATTCCCCATGACAATTCCAAGCTAATAAGAGTTCATAAATATGTCAAGTTGGGATCATGTAGCAGTATATATGTACAAGTCCCACTGCAGCCTATAACTACAGCTGTCCTCAGCAGACATAAATTGTGAATAGTTTTTATACACTGCATAAGAACTACATACACTGCTTATGCTTTCTAAGTTCACTATAATATTTAAAGACTATGCATTGTTAATGAAAAATTGCTTTTTATGAGCATAACAATGCACCAATTCAGATGTGAAAAATATATACTAATTAAATCATACAAACATTATCCAGCTAGAATGATGACAACTCTGATAAGAATTTGTTTCTCTTGGATGAGATGACAGAGAAACAAGAATGGATTTACAAACTATGTTAAGCCTATTTTAACTATGATCTGTTGAATAAGCCATGGTGGCTCAGTTCATACATTAAACAAAAGCAGAGAATGTTATTGCAGGTGAATTTTTAAATATTTTTTCCAGTGGCTAAGGGCTGCAGGATGCATAATGAAGTGAAAAGAATAATAAGGGGTATATTTTTATTTTCAGAAGTGTGTTAAGTATTAAAAGCTTGTTGTATTCATTGCTTTAATATCCTACCAAACTTTGACAAAAATATCATATTGTCAGACTGTGGCAAACACAACTTGGGCGAAATCCAGATGCACAAAAAAGAGGAACGCAGGGACACATTTATAGTAAAGCAGTGTAAGCCCACAAAGGCACTGTTCTTACCACCTGCTAAGCCAAAAGCAAACAGTATTATACTCTAGCAAAATGTGTATATTTAGCTGAACATGATTAGTAGCCTGCAACTGTGATTTGGAAATCCCACAATTCTTAACTGATGAAGGTTAGTGGCTGCTTTGGAGGACCTGATTTGGGGCAGTCTGACTGCTCCAATTGCACTACAATGTTTTCTGACATACTGCATGAAACTGCCAAAATCAGCCAGCTCAATAACAGAGCCTTGCCGACTCCTGTTCACCATATTTCTTTGCTTTACTAATGTCCCAATCTCAACCTGCAAAAGGCTAACAAACACCATATTTAGGGTATATGCAAGCATTCCAAACTGGGCCAGTCAGGTATTGTCAGATAATTGTTTTCCTGAGCCCAAAACCCCATTAATGCAAAAAAAAGCCTTTCTTCTTCTTCCTCCTCACATCTATTGCAGGGATGTCTGATGAGCAATATGGTATCCTTTCCTGTATTTGAAATTCCTTCTATAAATAAAGGAACTTTTCTTCATTAAGAAGAATGTATCTACCAGAGGGACTACATTTCTCTCCCATATATAAAGTTTAATTCTTTGCCAAGAATCAAGCAGTTTTACAAGGAAAATATATCTGAAGGAATACCTTGCAAGGATCCCTTTAAATATGCACATCTAGTCAGCTTTATATAGAAGTCTTTTATGAAACATACTTGATGGTCTCTTTGTGGACACCTGCTCTTTTTTCTCACTATCCTCTCTCTTCTTCTTAGAGGTCTTCATAACGGGGTGTTGTGCTTTGCCTTTCCTTGATTCTAGGGCTAAAGGGGGTGGCACAGCACAGTATTCTCCTACAATGAGACGATATAAGATTGGCAGGATGGATATACTGTTATGTATATATATATCATCTATGTCTATATATATCTACAGTTGTGTGAAAAAGAAAGTACACCCTCTTTGAATTCTATGGTTTTACATATCAGGACATAATAAAATTCATCTGGTCCTTAGCAGTTCTCAAAAGTAGGTAAATACAACCTCAGATGAACAACAACACATGATTTATTACACCATATCATTTATTTTACCTAAAGAAAGCCAAAATGGAGAAGCCATGTGTGAAAAACTAAGTACTCCTTACAATTCAATATCTTGTAGAACCACCTTTAGCAGCAATAACTTGAAGTCATCGTTTTCTGTATGACTTTATCAGTCTCACATCATTGTGGGGGAATTTTGGCCCACTCTTCTTTACAACATTGCTTCAGGTTGAATGAGGTTTGCGGGCATTTGTTTATGCATGACTCTCTTGAGGTCCCGCCACAGCATTTCAGTCAGGTTGAGGTCTGGACTTTGACTGGGCCACTGCAACACCTTGATTCTTTTCTTTTTCAGCCAT